TCATTTTATTTTTCCGACAGAAGCGGATCCAGTAATTTGGTAGCACCGGATTTCTCCTTTAAACCTAAGTTATATAATAATCGATTTTGATCAAAGCACCAGGCCCCTCCAAGAATCGATACATTTCCATGGGTTTAAATGGAGAAGATACGATGTTGCCTGTTTTCTGGATCCGCCAATGTTTTTCGACGAAAAACAAGCCAACTCTACAGCTTGCAGGCCAGGTTGGTATAATGGTCAGCGCGTCTGACTGTAGATCCTTAGGTCTCGAGTTCAAATCCCGGTCGTTGCGACAAATTTTCAATAAACGGACTAATGGATCTGCGGAGGCAGACTCCACTCGGCCTTATAACCCCTGAAAGTTTGAAAGTTTAGAGCATGGATATGCAAACCCTAATCCGATTGATTCCCCATTAAAAGCTGTCTATTTAGCGACAAAGGCCAAAGTTAACTGGAACTGTAACTGAAATTTTCAGTTAAGAGTTTCCAGCGATCTCCTATAGTGAAAACACAATTTTTAATTGGAAATGTTGTAACGTTGAAAGGCAGTTACGTTTTTTTGTCTGGTAAACTGATTATTTCTGGCCTTGTCCCGTGAAAATGCTGCCGCGCTAAGGAAAAACTAAGTATGAACATTTGAGAGTTGCCAAATTTCCTCCGATAAAATGCTTATTATTGAGGAAAGCTAATATGAATATTTTTCCTTGAATTTGAGAAACTTTAGTTGAAATTGCGAACAAAATGATCTGCAAAATTGGAGGAAAATATTTACCAATTTCCCAAAATTTTGTGATTTACTAGAGGAAATTTAGCAACGCCTGACGTTTCATACGGCGTTTTTCCTCAGCACGGCAGATGGAGAACAAATATTTGAAAAATGGGCAACACGCCCATGATCGCCATGTAATTGAAAATCGGAGATGAAAGCCACGGGAACGGAAAAAGAAAATTCGTTTAATATCGTGACAATTCTTCCCGGCATCGCAGCGTCTTGACAAAGGCGCGACGTTGTCAATTCTCCCCGAAACACCCCCGGGTTCTAATATAACCGCCCGAAAATTGAGGAATTTCGACGGAGAGGCGGCATCGCTGCGACGCGACCTGGAGCGACTGTCGGGGGCTCCGTGTTTGACAAAAATTGTGAGATTAAAGAAGGCCGGAATTTAATTAAAGTGCTGAAAGGAAGGAGCGAAAACTGGCATAATTTAATTCCTCGATGACCTCGGAGCGGGTTGATGACGCCGAGGGAGACCGTGAGGATTGGCAAATCCAAATATAGCTGTTTATTCTCAAGGAGGGCTTTTTCTATCATCGTTATTTGCTTAATTTAATTTTCGGAACTTAGCACCATTGTATATATAAAATATTTTGATGTACCTTCCTCCTAGAAAATATTACCATCAACTGAATCAGTGAGTTCGAAAACACACCAACTCGGAAAAAAAGTTGTTCAGGAAACACCTAAAACTGCGCAGCGGGCGAAGAAGTTGGTTTAAGAAAAACCTTTTTAGTGCTAAGGGACACGTACTTAGAGACTTTGGAAACACCAAGTTGAAATCGATACATCATGCTTGATGACAGAGAATCAAGCGTTTGAAAATTTCCGAGTTGGTGTATTTTCGTTCTCACCGACTTTCAGATACTGATTTTTCATAGTCTGCCCTGAAAAATCCATATTTTTGACCTGAATGACGCTTGAATATTTATATGAGACTTGTTGGTACAAGGTATACTGAACCGAAAAAAGAAAACCGCAAAATCGGATGGTCACTCGTTTCCCTTGAAATGGCCAAAAATTGGTATTTCCAATGGAATACTTCGATTTTTCCCTTTTCCCGTCTCTACTTCGAGCACGTCCGATTGCAATTTCGAAATTTCCTTTTGCGTGCAGGTGCTTCTATCCATAATTGTTACGAAACCGTAAAAAAGTGAAAATCGAAAAAAAATCCTAGTTGGTGAGTTTTCGAACTCACTGATTCAATTGTGTTATACCAAAGTGAAACGCCGCACGACCATTTGGACGTGGCCAAAATGTTCCGATATAATGCGGATTTCACGGAAATTTTGCAGAAATCTTTGAAAGACTTCCTTTGAAATTTTCAGAGAATTCAATTTTTTTCAAACCAGAAATCTGATAAGAAACTGGAGTACCCTTATAGGGAGGGTGTGGACACGTCGAAAATGAGGTTAGGTTTGATCAGGTCGTGTACCTCTTGGGACCCATAAGGGCAGCCAACCTATGAACTCGAATTATTCAGTCGTTCTAATTTTCACAATGCTTACTGGTATATTCTTAATAGTAAACTGCGAGAGTAGGTGCTCTGATCAAAAATTATAAAAGAACGCGTAATACTTGAATTTCGCATAAATGTTCTCAGTTTCAAAGTCTTAATTTTTAAAGAAGCTTGTTTACAATGCGCTGTCGGCCATATTAATTAATCTTTCAAATGCATAGGTTGGCAGCAGCATTTTTCTAGTGATTTTCGTTTTACACGTTGTCGTCCCTTCGGGCCCTAAGAGCTGCATAAATCGACGTGTCCGCACTCTCCCTACAAAGGTAATCTATCAGAAACCGCACCAAAGAAATGAAATGCTGAAATCGAATATGTCGAATGTCAACATCGTGCATACGTCCATCGTGAAGCATTTTCAATTGCAAGATCCGAGGTGATCGGTTCCGATCCGCGCGAAGCGGCAGGCGCAGAGGAAACAACTATATCAACTCTCGTGTGATGTGGTACAGTATCACAGTATTTGAAGGCGTTTTGAAATCACTAAATTAGCACCGACAAGAAAGGAATATCTGTCCCCCACTTCGTGATTTTATACGGTGGTCAATGAGTCAATTTGGTGGGCTGATCGTTGAAATAGATGGACAAAGCGATTGTTGAAATAGATGGACAAAGCGATAGACAAAGCTATACGCAAAGAAGATCCAGAGAAGATGGAGCGATCTAATTGGTGAGGGCAGGTGGTCGCAATGAGATCCCATAGTTAGTCCACCATTTTTCCTCTCAGTCTAAAATAACGACCCATTTCCACCAATAGGATCCCTCCATTTCCCTTTGGTCTTCTTTGTCGATCGCTTTGTCTACCAATTTCAACAACCAGCCCGCAGAATTTTTTCTTGGTGCAGATACAAGAAACCAAATCAAAACGTCCATTGGTTGCAGCAACTAATTTAAAACTTGAAGGGAATTCACAGTTCAAGCAATTTGTTGCAGTAGATAATGTATAACTAGAAGGGAACTCACCGTTCAAGCAACTCGTTGCAGCAATCAATTCACAACTAGAAGGGAATTCGCCGTTCAGGCAACTCGTTGCAGAAACTAATTTACAACTAGAAGGGAATGGAGATGTTGCATTGTGAGGAATTTGCGATTTGACTGTTGATACTCATGTACAAGTTTGCGAGAAACACGATGGTGCCACTGGTTTTCTCTGAAATCAACTCCCAAGCTCAAAAAAAGCTCTCAAGTTGAAGCCAAAATGGAGGGGATATCCCACCTTACCCTGAGAGTCTACGTCTACATTAAGACAAACTCTCCATGCAAAGATTGGGAGAAAACACATTAGCAGTGATGCCGTTTTTTTTCAGTTTTAGAGTCCCCAAATAAGGTGGCAGCCCGCAACCCTGTCAATGTATTTGCTCCTTATCTTTGCATGGAGAGTTTGTTTTGATGTAGAGGTGGACTCTTAAGATAGCTTGGGATATCCCCTCCATTTTGGCCTCAACTTGAGAGCTTTTTTTGAGCTTGGGAGTTGATTTCAGAGAAAACCAGTGGCACCATCTTTTTTCTCGCGAACTTTTACATAAGAATCATCAGTCAAATCGCAAATTCTTCACACATGCAACATCTCCATTCACCGTTCAGGCAGCTCGTTGCAGCAACTAATCTCCTGGCTGATGGAATGGCCTCAAATATCACATGCCCATGCAAAGCCCAAGAGCGCGCAGGAGGAAACCAGTGGCGTGGCGTGAAGGATCGATTATCGATTTATCGATCCTTTTCCATAGGTTTAAATGGCATAACAATCGATACATCGCAAAGCACGCCACGCCACTGGAGGAAACTCGCCCGGGTTCGGGAAAGGATCGGAAGGGTCGAGCCATTATTTATACGAAGGCGAAGAGCTAATATTGCCTTTGAATTATTCCGAATCGAATGGACCGCTCTATTGACCCACTAACTTACTGTCTTATATTTCGGCTGTTTGATCGCCTCGCCGCCCTCCCTCTGCGCCGCGCGGAAAATCCTTTGTAAACGCCCGCCCGGTCGCCACCTACCCTTATTTATGCTCCCGCGACTTCCCGCCCGAAATTGCTCTTTCTATTCCTCCACTCCCGAGCCTCTCAGCTTTGGTGAAGAGAAACGCCGCGTGAATATACGAATGTTGGTGTATTTTTCCTAGAAATCGTGCATTTTTGAGTGGTTAATTTTTTCCCCCTTTTTTTAAAGATTCTCCTGAAGCTGGTTGTACAGTAGGGACTGAGGGGGAGAGAGGCAAAGTTGCAAATCGTACAATTAAATGTAAACATTTTACATGCGTTTAAATGGAGAAAGTGCTGATTTTCAGCACCATCCGGCTCACTGAAAAAAAAACTCCTGCCGTGGGAGCCGCCATTACGGGCTATATAGACATACCGTCCGTTCCGAGCTTAAAGGCCGAAAATTTCGGCCTCTGAACCCGGATCAATCAAAGCTACGCCTCCAGCAGCCGGAATTTTCGGCTTTTGAGCCCGGAACGGACGGTATGTCTATATAGCCCGTAATTGCGGCTCCCACGGCCGGAGTTTTTTTTTCAGTGCTGTCATACGGTGACGTCACTTTTGCTTAACCCTCCCCTCGAGTAATAGGTGGCGTCATAACCCGAATTTTTCAAAGCGCGATTTCTCGGTTCATATAAAACGTCGAAAGTTGCTGTTTGGACAGATATTGATATTTTTTGCTAAAATTGTCCGGGGTTCTTATCGACTGCGTTTGTTTCTCTGCTTTCAGGTATATCAAAATGTCTAGTCCTCATCTGAATAACTTAATAATAGTGGGTTGTATACTGACGTACAGCAGCGTGATCTTCCTGGGGCTGGACTCGACGTTGACCAGCACGGAGGCGTTCCCGTACATCTGCACGGCTCGCGCTTCCCTCCTCATGTCTGGCTTCTCGCTCGCCTTCGGCGCCATGTTCTCCAAAACGTGGCGCGTCCACTCCATTTTCACTGACGTTAAGCTCAATAAAAAAGTAAGCTCCCCTTTCTCACACATAGTTACCGCAAGAGATGTCTTTTGAAAGCTACCCATCGATTCCGATACCGATCGAGAAAATTCAACAATTAACCCTAGTCTGCCTGAGTGGGGTCAGATTGGCCCCAAGGGAGTTTCAACTCTTTGCCATTTCTCGTGGTATGCACGAAATTTTTTGTCCTTCACAAATAGCTCTACAAAAACATCTAGAAACACGATTTTGAAGGGGGAAAAAAAAATGTGCATGAAAGATCAAAAAATTCACGAGTACCCCTAGAAAGCCTGAGCGGGGTCAGATATCTGTATAACATATATTTTACCATTTAGCATCACAAAAGCTTACTTTGAAGGTGTATTCATTTTTCTTTTTTTAATTTTTTTCAGAAACTTATAAAACAAGCAAAATTTTTCAGATTTTTTTTCGTTTTCAGTATTTAGTAGCCCTATGATTTTTTTTTCTCATGCGTATGATAAAATGGTTGCATATCCTGCGCCGTGTTTTTTTAAAACTTAAATATGCTTTATGGATAAGGCCTGTAAGGTTAATGCACTGATATTAACTAAAAACATGAAAAAAACATAGCTAACTAATTGATTTTCAGCTGGGGTCAAATTGACCCCGCTCAGGCTTTCTCGTTGGCTCAGAGGCTCAGGCAGACTAGGGTTAACTTTGAAAGTGGGTCCTTGCAAGGGATTACAATGATTTGCCCCAAAAGAGAACAGAACATGGATGGAAAAACTCAATGTTTAACAAATTTCAAAGTAGGTTTTAACCTAAAAATTTTCAAAACCTCCAAAATCTCGTTTTTTTTATTTTTGCACGGTGGCAAATTGTTTTAATCCTTTGCAAAGAGCCATTTTCAGAGTTTGAGTAAAACAAATATGTTTTTATCTCAAATACACGAGAGTCGTTTTTCTCAGCTTAGAAGTCAAATTTAAGAAATCAAGATAAATATGATCCCCTATGGTGAGAGGTGACCAAAATTATCAAGAATACGGATGCAATGATTGGAGTGCTGAGTGTATTTATTTGAATTGAAGCTGAATTCCTTCGAAAGCACAGGATACTAACTCAGAGTCATTTTCTTTTGTTGACAGGTTATAAAAGACTATCAATTATTTTTAGTGGTTGGCGTCCTGCTGTCTGTAGACTTTGTCATTATGATAACGTGGCAAGCCATAGATCCTTTTTTTCGAGAAATTAGACATATGGAGCCTTATGTAAGTACATAAAGTATATAGTACATTCTATATTTTTACAATTCGCCATAATGTAAGACATACGTTCATGAATAATATTCAGTGAGTATATTCCAAAAATCAATTCTAGAAAGCTGACAGCACTTCAAAAGGGCATAATTTCAGAAAAATCTTAGGGGAGAGCCTGGCAAAAGTTTTTGAAAGGGGGCGAAATTTAGGGTAAAATCTAAAACATGTCTCAAACTCAATGAACATAGATTCAAAGGGCCTTTGATGGAAAATCAACGCTGATGACACCCCCGGCAACAAATCACGAAATCTAAGACGTATGCCCAATCCTCAAGATTTAGTGTACACTTCAAAAAAATGCACAAAATTATGTCATATAAGTGAACACCTAAGGTGTTACTACTACTTTTTTGGGGACAAGTTATCTCTCATATATTTCACGTGGTGACACATTGTGTCGTATACACTAAATGTTTATGATGATAAATCATAAATGTTTGTGGTGTAGTTGTCTTCGTTGAACTTGAGTGAACTTGTTTAAAAAATTATTGAACATAATATACGATCATACAAAATATAACTAATTATATTTAAAGCACAACTAATTATATTCAAAACATAATCAATCATATTTAGAACATACATAAACACATTTGGAACAGAATCATTATCATGCTGGATTACAGGCCTTGCAAGGTTTTTTCCACTCCGGGTGTGAAACATATAGGGAAACTGACTTACTTTGTTTTTTTTTTTTTTTTGGGGGGGGGGGGGGTCAAACCGAATTTTCCCCTGAAAATAACTCATCATCACATATGAACATGATTTCACCTTATAAAATAGTTTGATTTTGTTGCATAGAAATGAAATATAGAATCATAACAATACTTCAATTACTAGAAAACAACTTCTAACTTGTCGAACGTTGATTTTAAACCTTTTTCCTGCTTTCATCGTCAATATTTACGACAAAAATCCCAATTCACGTGCCTCGGTTTACGACGAGAAGAGACACATCCTTTATTTTATGAAATGAAAAACCACTCAACTGAAATTTTTTGATACTGTCATAATATTTACTCTCTGTGCGAAGAAAATTCTGGGGAAACTCAAGCAATAATGATTTTTTCTCCTTTAAAAAGATAAAATAAAAAAGGAGCGGAGATTTTAAAACTCTGTAATCAAGATGCGTGGTATTGGACATGAAAATGTATCCCTCGCACATGCAAATCGTCGTTCCCTTCACTAAGGAACTTAACTAAATTTTCAATGTTGCCAAATTTTCCTTCGTAAATTTCATTTTTCTCAGAAGAATCGTGAGCAATTCTAGATGATAATTTGACGAATTTTTCCTCTGACTTCGGGCAAAAATCAGAAAAAATTGGATTAAAACCACACAGGTAAATTCTTTTAAAAGATTGAATTGTTTGAGTCAATGTTGCAACCTCGGAACAGAGACACGTTCCTTCGTCCCGAAAACGACGAGATCAGCCATGACTCTTAGATTCTCATTTTGACAGACCAACGTAAAGCTCAATCACAAAAGCCATAAAACTGATCAAATATCCGATTCCAAGGCTGATAAACGCAAGCTGTAAATCTATCATACTGAAGGGTCTGAGAGATCCCTCACCGGAATTCCGCTCCGCGATGTATCCGAAGTAAATCTGCGTCTCGAAAGTGTCAGCTCTGAAAGAATCAGCCATGACACCGTTCTCAAGAAGCCGATGAACGCTTTCGTCGAAAATCTCGGTGAGAATCGAATTCTTGACTATCAGGTACGAAAACGGGTAGGTCACCAAACACTCGTCTATCAAATGCAGCTCGATATTCTCCTTATTCGCGTCCACCGGAATGCGATTCTTCACCGAGAGCAACGAGTAGGGTACCCTGGCGGCAAATGCGTCTGTCTCCATGATCATATCGACGCTCTTCATTAGAGTCGCTTTCAGCTCACTCGTATTGTTTTGAAGCGGCAAGAATTCTCGAAAGCGTGTGTCCTCAAGTTCCGAGAGGGGATCCGGAAACAGTTCATCGTAGTAGAACTTGCTTTTGGTCAGTCGATCTCGGAGGGACGCGTGATCGGACTGCTCCAGAAGTTCCGGAAGCATTTCAGTATCCGGAGTTTGTATGTACAGTCCGGATTGTTCCAATTCCTGCAGGGTCTCGATGTCGGCATAGCGCACGTAGCTGCTTAGCAAGGTCGTCATTCCACTTTGAAGGACTGTGCCTACGATGAGACTGAAAAATGTGAAGACGAGGAAGCAGATCTTCCCGGTTAAGAGCTTTCCCAGAAGGAGGACGGGTGGGTGCCCACTCAAGAGATAAGAATAAATAGTGAGAAATGCTGGCGATTCCTCATAGGCGAGGATCTCTGCGTCGGAGTAAAAGTGCGTGAAATGCGTAACTTGGGAAAATTGGAAAAACCACTGCATGAACCAAGAGGTGGCTATTGCCATTACTATAGCCGCCCACACCGGAGGCGAGAAGCACTTGACGACCACGAGGTATTGAGGCATGAACCCACGCCGTGGTGCGAGCAGACAGTAACTAAAAGAGTCAATGATCGGAGGATGGTGGGATATGGGAAGGTCCGATGCTTTGGGACCGTAGCTACTTTCGTAGACGATGAGATCCACGTTGTGCCTCAGACCATCGTCGGTACTCATGATGATCGAATCCTCCGGCAGATTGTAGTAGTTTTCTTTGGATCCGATTTTCCTCGAGATCACGCGGATTACCCCGAAGATGATATGGGGCGTCGCGCCCCAAAAAGCGGAAGTGCTCATGAGACTGCCGTCGTCGTAAGTGACGGCTACGGTGTATTTCTTGTCGCGGTAGCCTCGGAAAGAAAAGTCGAAATACCTCTCGTCCGTCGTGCCTTCGTAGCGGTCCAGACGCCCCTCGAAGCGGTCGTACCAAACGCAGTGTGTTTCGAAGCAGATAGTTGTTCGCTGACCCCGGAAAAATCGCCAAAATAGGTCGAAGAGAAAGATCAGGTTGCAAGAGTCGATTTCAGCATCGGTTAAAATAGTTGTGTCTGGCGCATCGATTCCCGGACATTTTTGATCTGCGTTAAGTTTCCTCCAACTCTGCTCATCGACTATGAATACGATGTGGTTTTCGTAGTTCCAGACATCGTGAGAGTACAGACCACGGGTTAAGATAAGTAAATCATCCGTCAAAGGAGACCGACCGTCTAACTCTGCAGGAGTTATATCAACTCTGAAATCGCAACTTCCATTTTTTTGTTCGGACTCAGCTGAATTGTACACGACACAATAATTTGGTAGTTCTCCCGGGACGTGTTTCTCTGTGTCGTGTTCGAAAATTACGTCTGAAAAGTTGGCAGAAATGTCGGGGTAGTCGGTAATTTCATTCTCTTGAGAAGCTGTCGCCAAGATTAGACTAAAAATGTCGTTCGTTTCTTTCAAAAAGAAAATTATGTTTTTTTGATGCTGGCTTTGAGAGAGGAGACTCATTTCGCTGTAGTGGCTGATAGAAAAGATTGGAATCGAATTCTCGTGTAAGTCCTGGATAAGGCCGTTGACAGACAGGTCTCCCCGCAAGTCAACGATGTAAATTTTCTGATATTTTGAGATTCGCACAAGTTCTTTGCAAATTTGCAAAGGCAAAGAGGTGGTGCGGTTCAGAGCTTCGTGACCATCAGACTGAGAGGCAATCTCATTCCGCGCAAATAAAATAATGATCAGCATTTTCATTCTGAAAAGTATGATTATTGAGCTGAAAAAAGCATTCATCGGGACAATTTTATGAGACCAAACTTAGATGCCTGAAATTACACCTTTTTTTCATTGCACAGAATTAAAATACCGTATCAAGTTGGGAAGTAGTGAAATTCGACGATATGCTAGAGTGACCAAAATGATCAAAATAAATATAGCTTTGACTTATCCTTACCATTTCAGTTTTTGTGTACTAAGGTCTTTTTTCTTTGTACGGTCATGAATGAGCCCAATGCCTTCAAATTTCAGAATTATGACCAAGGTTTCATTATTGGCTCACAACAGCCTCTAAGAGCCCAGACGCGGAGTATAAGTCAGGGGTTGGGCCGCGCAGAAACCAGGGAGGACCCCAATTAAAAATAATTCTTAGGTTGTTTTATAGAAAGTCGTAGGTCGATGTAACAATCCACGTAACATCAGGTCGCAGAGCAAGTGGCACATGCGAGTTTCCACAAACGCCTTCAATTGAGAGTGATACGCTGCAATACACCGGTGTTCGATAAGTCGCATCACGTATAAGTTGACTCGCTGCCTGCTGCTCAGTATGGTTTTAACGTCCATCACCTCACTAAGTATCCTATCCGGTTGGAAAATAGTGAAATTCGGGAGGTTGCAAGAATAATTGATGATGAAAATAAGTTAACTTTGACAAAGTCCTCACCATATCTGGTTCAATCATCATTTTAGAAAAGAAACCACATTTAGTTTAAACACCATTTTAGACAAAATAAGACACTCTCATCATGATACAGCTAGCATTCTTATTGTTTTAATTTTTAACGTGTTAAAGTTATGATAATTCTGCACTTTATCGTCGCAATTTTAAGGGACGATTCACGCTCAATGAGAGTACATGACCGAAAAATTTCACGTAAAAAGAACGCTAAAGATTTTTTGGTTTAAGCTCAATGAGATTAATTGTCGCATCATAGCTTTAGAGTCTAAACTGACCAACACTTTTTGACGAAAGATATGACAGGAAAAGTATTTAGAGGTTTTACCTTTTCAATTTTGAGGATTCCAAGTTAAAAATACTAACGAGCTCAGTTACAAGATCACCAAGTAAGAGCTATAAATTGAAGTTACATGGAGAGGAACATCATACTATTTATTGCATAGTTCACACTAATTTCAGAATGGTAAATACCTACATCTATAAAGTGTGACGGTTGTTTTAATCATAGGTTATGAATGATGAAAATGTAAGTGACATATTGACAAAAGTATGAAATATAAGTCACAGTGAGTGTAACTCGTCTTAGAATCTTATCTTCTTAT